TGGTAGGTTCATTCGTGTGATAGTGTGTATTTCCATGTTCTAGCGGTGGATTCATCCTATCGATGGAGTCAGATGGAGGTCCACCGCACGATCGGAGTACATGCACGCACTCATACACACACACACACACACTCTTACGTACACATTCTTACGTACACATTCTTACGTACACATTCTTACACTCACGTACACACACGCCCGGGCACACGAGTATTAGTAGTGCACCTACCCATGTTTAGCGGTAGGTTCATTCGCTTTTGCTCATCCTAACCTTGGAAGTACAGCGTGAGATTGGAGACTTACCCGTTCACTCTCTAGCTCCGGCGTCGTCGTCGAGGCAGTTGTCAGCTCATCGTTGTCGTGCTCGTCGCGCGGTCAGGTAAGTATTTTCTCCTCTTCTTCTCTTCTTTCTTCTCCTTCTTCTTCTCCTTCTCCTTTCCCTTTTCTCGCTCCTTCTCTTTCTCCCTCTTTCTCTAAATGATAAGTTTCAAGGAACCTTCTTCGGCGCTCCCTGCGGTAACCGCCGAGATCACCGCAATCCAGACACTTCACCGGTCCACTCAATCGGTAGGAGCAACGGGCCGCGTACGAAGGGCAGGGTCGTAATCAATGCGATCCTGATGACTCGCGCTTACCAGGCATCCCTCATTTAAGATCAATAAATACAACAATCTTCCCCGTCGCAGTGGACTCCTTCCCTCTTCCCGCTTCTTCTTCTTCTTCTTCTTCTTCTTCTTCTTCCTCTTTCTTCTTCTCGCGCGCCCCACTTCTGCTTGCTGGCAATCGTGTTTTCCCTTTTCTTGCCCCCGTACCCCTTTCTTTAGCATCCGCGCCCCTTTCCTCCTCGTATGCGGTCGCTACCTCACTGCGCTCCTCTCCTACCCCCTGCTCCTCGCTGCTCTCGTCCTTCGCCCACTCGCAATCCCCTCTGCTCGCTAGCCCGGGCTTGCTGTGTCGCTCTCTTGGCCCATACGCTACCCTTCCCTGCCGTACTCCAACTCGATAGTCCTCCCCGTCGTTGTCGGAGCGGGATGTCGGGAAGTCCCGGGGGAATGAACCTGCCCCGGTTCTAACCATTAGTTCATCTAGTTTTCTTACGAGAATCGGGGCAAAAATAAATAAATCAAGAAAAACAAAAGAATCTAGAAATTGTAAAAAAAATAAAATAAAAAAAAATTGAATAAGACAAAAGAAAGAGAAATCTAACTACCTAACTACCCGGTCGTGCCATCTATCGGGCAGACCACCTAACTAGAACTAATCCTAACACTAAGGTCGCGGGTTCAAGCCCCGGCCACTCGAAACCGGACAAAACAAAAGCGGGGCTCTCTTTTCAAAAGGAGCTAGCTCAGCAATGAATTGGATTCGTTCCCTGGATCCACTGCTTAACGACCTATACCTAAACCTACTGAGCTAGCTCCTTCTCCAATTAGTAAAAGAGCCGCTCAGATATAAGTAGAGTACCGGGGTTCAACCCACCTAGTGGTCTGAGCCCGTTTCTAGGTCTGTGCGTGGACACGCTTGATGGTCTGCGTGCCTGTCTGAGCGCTCGCCGACCTTGAGTGTGTGTGTGCCCCAAGCGGGCACTTGATTCAACGGAAAGCCCGAAGGGTCGGTACTTACCTGTGACCGGGACATTGAGGTTGGCCGCGGGGAAAACACTCAAGTGGCGGGAAGAGAGGTTTGCGGCACTTAAGAGCCGCCTGGAACACTTGAGTAGCAGGTAGGCCGGTATCACTCCAAGTCGGACGTGCCGGGTAGTCAAGGCCAAGCAGAAGAAGACAAAATCGGCGTTTTTCATAGGCCTAGTACCGTTAGGTAGGCGTGTATCAGTCCAAGTAGTATGAGTCTAGGCCCTGTATAGATGATATCAGAGCTTACACCGGTGTCTCCCTTGGTAGAGGGACGAAGGCACCGGTCGCTAGGGTAGTCATGCGGTCAGGAAGTCACCTCCCAAGGGGCGACTCCCTTTTCTACCTACGGGAGGCTGAGTTAGAGCCTCAACCTCGCTTATGGTGCGCAAGTAAGGATAAAGGTACCGCTCGAGCAATCGTCAACAATCGGGATGCTACCTCAACCCCGATGATCATACACTAATAATTGCTCCGGTCGTACGACCGGGGCGTGTATTAATTTATTCTGACTGATGTACTGACGATTAAGTCTCAGCGTACATCGTAGATCTACTCGTCATAACATCAACCCTATCGACCCCTCAACCTCTTTGGTCGAAGGGTATTACTGCAGATCCTAACCTTCACAGTGTGCGTCATAACAACACGCGCGCATACTTAACGAAATTTTCTCACCGATTTTGCCCCGGACTCAATGGCCGAGGAATTCGTTTCGAGTGTCACGCTCAAGCATGCACACCCTTTCTATTCCAGACTGGCTCCGTCATGGTAGCCGATGCCGCCACCGTGTCTAATGCAAAAGCATGGCCAAATACCCTTGTAAGGGTATTTGGTCTGACACCGCAGCCCAGGCCCAGCCTATGGCCCCGCCACCATCGCCCGCTCCTAGTTCGCAAGGGGGCGTGGCTGGAGGTGGGAACCAGGGTCAGGGCAATCAAGGCAATGGAGGAAGGGGTGGTGGAAGGGGGAGAGGCAGGAATGGCGGCGGTCGGGGAGGACAATGGAATGGCCAAGGTCAGGGGCACCAAGGTCAGGGGGATCAAGGAAGTCAGGGGTATGGAAGAGCCCGCTTTGACTGGAGGTCGGCTATCTGCCAACACTGCGACCAGCAAGGCCACACTATAAGGTTTTGTTACATAAGGCAGGAGGATGAGAAGAACGGGCTGATTTCCTCCACCATGGATGGAAACATCTATGACCAGTTTGGAGATTTTATCGACAGGAAGTTTGGCGGAGTGAGAGCGGAGGCACAACGAAGAGCGGCAGCGGGACCACCACCCCCTGCGACGTTCAGGTTGTGGCAGGAAAAGGAAGGACCACCAATTGGGGTAGAGGAAGTGGGGAGTGATGAGGAAGTGACTCAGGGGCTACGAAAAGGAGGTAAGAGGGAAGAGCCCATAATCATTGAGTCAGACGACGATGGAACCTCTGTCCGCCTTGTTGGGGAAAATGGAGGACCTGTTGGACAAGATGGGGAGGTACCAAAGGAAGTTGGTGGACCTCTGTGAGGGGGTAAGGGAATGGAGGTCTAACGTCGCCAATGTGTTCCTTTATGACTCCGGCCCGGAGTCAGCGCCCGGGCGACCCGGAGTAAATGTAGTGGGGTCGGGCCTGCGAACGGGGACGATGATGAGACCTCTTACCCCGCAAGCCCGGCTGACACAGGCAGCGCGAACGCGAAGTCAGGCCAAGGCCAGTGCTAGCCAAGAACCTCCCCGGAGAGAGCCTGAGCCAGGAAGAAGGAAGGAGGATGTGGAAGTGGAGGATGATGACGACGAGGAGGAAGAGGATGAAAGGTTGCGCCAAGAAGAGGACCAGAGGGCGGAGCAAAGGGTGAGGAAAAGAGAGGCCAGGGAAGCGGCTGAGCCGGTTTTGCACGGCTGGAAGAATGGTTTGACGTAGAGAAGGTGATTGACAGGTTGTTAGAAGGGCATAATGACCTCATGACCTTAAAGGAAATCTTGGCGTCAGCCCCTAAGCTCCGCGATGGATTGAAGGGGAGGTTGTCGTGGCGTCTGGTACCCAACGTCCATCTGGGTACGATCCTGCCCAAGGAGGTGGAGTGGGCAGAGTCGGGCACGAAGATGGATTGGACGTGTGTGGCCTGCGGCACACTGGATTTTGTAGTGAAGGGCTCCAAGTGTACAGCGATGGTGAACACAGGGGCGGAGATGAATATCATCCGGGAGGCGGATTCCATCAGGTTCGGACTGGATATAGACCGATGTGACTGCGGCATTCTACATGGGGCAAGCTGCAGGGCCATGTTTTGTGGGACAGCCTCGAATGTGTTCATCGAGGTTGGGAAAGTAAAGGCCAGAGCATGTTTCTTCGTCATGCCGGATGTGGATCACGGAATCCTCCTAGGGAGGTAATTTTTTAGCTGAACGGAAACCGTGATATTCAATAAGCATGACGGGACTTTGATCCTCCTCCTATGCGACCCTGCCTGCGGGAATTATGAGGTGATCACCTGCAGGAATACGGGGCCGAAGAGCATAAGGAACCGGCCCAATCCAGGGTCCTTCACAATCGAGGAGTCGGAGGGCGAGCGCCGGACGCTCCGGGCGGAGCCAGAAGAGGAAAAGAGGGTTGAAGCATTCTCCCTCAGCCTGTCGGACGTGGGAAAGGCCATGGATTTGGTGGCCGCACATGAGATGGCAGATCCGGATGCCATCCAGGCATTGAGGGAGCAGGTCCTGGAATGCCCCGAGCCAGGGAGATTGGAATTGGTATATCGTCTTCCGGATGGCAGGAGGAACCCGACGTTGATGCAGGCGCAATCCGTGAATGGCCTTTTTTAGGGGGCGGCTCAAGCAGGGTTCCCAAAGGCGGTACAAGACGGTAGACCAGAAGTGTCGCCCAGTCCCCGTCCTCGTTACTGAGGACGAGGAGGTGTACTATGAACGAGAGCGGGGGTTGATACGGCGGATGAAGGAGAAAGCCACAGCAGGGCCATGCTGTATCAACGAAGAGAACGATGAGAAACTGATTATAGGGAAGCCCGACTTCCTATTGCCTCAGGAACGAGCCTTGATGGTAGAGCTAATGAAGAAGAGGCATCGCGCCTATGCGTTTAGCGACGAGGAGCGTGACAGAGTGGATGTGGACAAGATACCTATGATCCACATCCATACCGTGCCGCACGAGCCTTGGAACCTAAGGGGGGCGCGATATCCTAATCCTGACGAGGAGAAGTTGGTGGTGGATTACCTCGATGGCAAGATAAGCACGCATGTCGCCGACTATTCTAGTGGACCATATGCGTCCCCGTGGTTTTGTTTTATCAAGCCTAACGGGACATTGCGGTGGATGCAAGACCTACAAAGGCTAAATGTGGTGACTGTGCGGGATGCTGGAGGATTGCCCAATGCGGACGCGCTATCAGAGTCCTGTGCTGGAAGGCCTATAATTTCACTTCTAGACCTTTACTCAGGATATGACCAGTTTCCGGTCTATCCGCCAGATAGGTCGGTGACGGCTATGCAAACGCCTCGAGGACTGATCCACATGAATGTGGCTCTGCAAGGGTGGACTAACACGGTGGCGATGGTCCAACGGGCCATGATTCGGGTTATGCAGTCAGTCAGCCCGCATATCACTCAGCCATATATTGATGACTTGGCAGTGAAAGGGCCGGCAGTGAAGGAGAGTGACGAGGTTTTGCCCGGGGTAAGACGTTTTGTCTGGAAGCATATCCAGGACCTCGAGAAAGTCCTGAGCCTGTTCGAGGAGCATAACCTCACGGCAAGTGGGGCCAAATCCAGACACTGCATGAGGGAAGCGACTATCTTGGGTTTCGTCTGTAGTGAGAAGGGCCGACAGCCGGATATAAAGAAGACGGACAAGATTACTGAGTGACCAGTTCCATTCCACTCAATAACTGATGTCCGGAGCTTCCTTGGGACGTGCGGATTTTGAAGGGCCTTCGTCAAGAACTTTGCGGCTAAGACTGAGCACCTGAGAAAGCTAGTTCGTCAGGATCAGGAGTGGGTTTGGGGCGAAGAGCTGGAAGAGGTGGTGGCCAGAATGAAGAAGGAGTTCCGAGAAGGGGGTCTGGTGTTGGGGGCGCCAGACTATGACGCCACAGAGACGAGACCCTTCATTGTTGAAACGGATGCGAGACCAACTGCCTTAGGTGGAGTTTTAATCCAGGCAGACACGGAGGGAAAGGAAAGGTCTTTGAGATTTGAGAGTCGGACTCTCTGTACGACCGAGAGGAACTATTCTCAGTTCAAGAGGGAAACCCTTGTCGTCCTCCACTGTCTGCGAATCTTCTAAAACTACATCTTCGGCAGGAGATTTATATTGAGAGTGGACCCAACTGCCCTGGCCTACTCTCTAAGGAATTATGTACCATCGGATCCAACAGTTGCCAGGTGGCTGACGTACATCTGGATGTTTAACTTCGAGTTGGAACGGATCCCTGGAAGCAAGAACCGGGCGGACGGGCTGAGTCGTATCAACTGGGATGGTCAAGAAGGAGAGGCAGTGGAGAATACCCCCCCAGTTGATGGATTTTTGGATCAGGAGGAAGATGTCCGTCCCCACATTAACAAGTGGTCGCCGCGAGTGCCCAGTTGTGTGGGCCATCCTATCTGGAAAGCACCGAGTGGATATGAATGGAAGGCGGAGCTAGTTCTTAAGCCTTTTGAGGAAGAGGATCCCTGGGGTAGTAAAGATGTTCAATGGATGATGAAGTTGGCATTGGCTGGATCGCGTAGCCTAGTGGAAGATGTGAGGGCAATAGAGGAAGGTCCAGGCCAGGTAGAAAGGCATGAGGAACTGATGGGGGGAATGTATCTCCTCGTCAACACACTATTGTAGGAAAGCCTCGATCAAGCAGGCTCGTTGAATCCGACGGGGAATGAGGACGAGGTGCCCGAGAGCCAGGACGACGAGTTTGAAGAGGGTGAGATCAAAGAGACCTTTCATGCAGAGGAGTATGAAGGAATCTACCTGGAGCTGGGACTCCTTCTGTCATGCGAAATGCGGCTTAGATATGCGAGCGATAGGACTCAAAGGATGATGCAACGCTACTTGGTGCGAGATGGCCATCTTTTCGTGAGAAGAGAGTCCCAAGAGAGTCGTTTGCGGTAGGAATCGTCAGGTTGACGTCATGGCAGCACTTCATGATGGCATTGCAGGAGGGCTTTGAGGGGTACAAGCCACATACATCAAAATAAGTGAGTTGTACTACTGGGATAAAATAATGGATATGGTTGGGAAGTTCTGCCGATCTTGCGTGCCCTGCCAGGAGAGATCCCGCTTGAGGCAAGGAGAGTCGTTACATCCAAGGGTAGAGCGAGAAGTGAGGGCTGTAGTGCATCTCGATCTACTTTTCATGCCGCTTGGGGACCAGGGCTATAACTATATTTTCGATGCGCGCGATAACCTGTCTGGCTTCGTAGATGGACGTGCCATTCGTACAAAGAACGGACCTGTCTTGGTTAGTTGTATCGAGGAGTACTACCTACGTTACCCTTTCGTCAGGGAATTCGTAATGGACAGGGGATCGGAGTTATCAAGGTATGGTGTAGTAGCCAACTACACCACGGCCGCGCACCCCCAGACAAATGCTCCAGTGGAAAGAGGACATAGTACCATTACGAACCTCCTGGCTAAGTGGACCGAAGGTAGGCCTAATTAATGGCCAAGGTACCTAAGGGCGACATTCTTTGTCGAGAACATTACAGTGAAAAGATCCACCAAGTACGCACCGGCGACGTTGTGGTATAGAAGGCATGCCACCTTCCCAATCGAGAGTTTTCTTAAGACCTGGAGGCGCCAGGATCTGGAAGTCAACTTGTCTTTTGAAGAGTTACTCGATATTCGGGCGCGTCAGGTGGGGGCGATAGAGGAAAGGATCCAGGAGGCATCCAATCAAGTGGAGAGGAGCCGTATGGATGATAAGGCTCGCTGGGACCAGTCTTCGTGAGTGAGGAAAGTACCTTTGTGAGTCGGGGACGTCGTACTCCTATATGATTTATCATTGGAAAAGCAATGGTCCAGGAAGCTCAACAAGAGGTAGTTAGGTCCCTACCGGATCGTGCGGTGTGGAGATTTTGAAGCCTACCAGATTGAAGAGTTGAATGGGACTGAATGGAAGGAGTGGGTATCTGGAACGCGGCTGAAGAAATTTGTGGCGAGAGAAGAGGTGAGAGAGATGATCTGACTTCCCTTAGAGTAGAAGCGATAGGATGTGTAGGTCAGATAGGTTGCATGCTGCATGAGTATGGTCTGGTCTTAGCTTGCTTTGATTATCACCTGTTTGCTTACCCCAATGTGTGCCTGTTGTCTCCTTCGCCTGTTGTGCAGGTCTGACTTTACGAAGACAGCCATAGCAAGAGGAGGGAAGGGGACACGGCCGCCACGAAGGCCGTTGGGGGCATCAAGAGGATATGAGCGGCATGGGCCTCGCCATCGAGAGAGTACTCCGGTATACGATGATGGGGACATTGAGTTATTCCTGGACAGTTTCTGGGACCATGCCAGGCGTATGGGCTAGACCGTGGCCCAGGCGATTGAGAGGTTGAGTGGAGCCGGCAGGTTCGAGGAGCCCATTGCCCGGATCCGTAGGGAGGCGACGACGAGGCAAGAGGTGGAGATGAGGATGCAGGAGCTACGACCCTCGCCTGTGGGACCTGATGGCAGGCCGATTCGCCTAGAGATCGGAAATGCGGCAGACTTTATCCCCGCCTTCGAGTGGTTCATGCAGCGGCAGGGTACACCGAGAGATGACTGGGCGAGGACGCTACCCCTCTGGACCAGAAAGGCGGAGAGACCACTGGCTAGGCAGATCAAAGATATGGCCCGGGATTGGGAGAGTTGTAGAGTACACTTGAGGGAGGCCTTCCGACGACCAGAGTCGCCTCAACCCCGAGTTGAGAGGCGCCAGACGAGCAGGAGGCAGAGGGACCCTGAGCCCAGTGAGGCAAGGCCATCGCGAGGGGGACGGAAGGCCCTGGCCAGGAGAGAAGAGGAGCCGGAGCCTGAGGATGAGGAGCGAGGGGCGTATCCTGAGTATGGATTGGGACCGGTGGAGTTTCATCATTTTACCGAGGGTGGATTGAGGAGGTCGCCAGTGCGCACACAAGAGGAGGCGCCGGCATCTGAGGGGCCGTTGAGGGAGTTGGAGGCGCATCTGGACGTCTCTCGATGGGGAGCGTCGCCTCGAGGCGAGGAGCGTGAGGAAGTGCCGCGTGAGGAGGTGCCACGAGAGGAGGTGCCGCGTGAGGAGGTGCCGCGTGAGGAGGTGCCACGAGAGGAGATGCCACGAGAGGAGGCCCGAGATACTCAGCGAGAGAGAGGGCTGGGCGATGAGGGAAGACGTGCAGGGAAGGAAGTGATAGAGGTTGAAAAAGACACACCCCCTCAGATGCCAGTAGTGGGTTTGAGGCCTGCGGATACACCAGGGAGCACTTGCCAGGCAGCAGAGGGATTACAGAGAGAGGAGGCCCCATTACCTTCATCAGAAAAGGCTCCTTCGCCAGAAAAGAGAGCAGAAAGGAGGAGAGAGGCCGCAAGCATGAGGAGAGAAGCCTTGGCCCTGATTGACAGGCACCAAGCAGCTCATGCCCTGGAGCACCCAGACCTGGAGGAGCCAGCACCTGCAGAGCCGCGCCAGGAGCCGTGCCAGCCTGAGAAGGAGGTGGAGGCAGAGATCCCGAAGAGGGTCGACCTCCGCACGAGGGAGAGGCCGCCAGCTGGAGAAACAGCTAAAGAAAAGAGGGCGAGAAGAAGCAGGAGGATAGAAGAGATATGGCAAGAGAGGCAGAGGTTGGAGGCAGCGGCGGCACTTCCGGAGCAGCAGCAGGAAAGGCAGAGTTTGGAGGCAGCAGGGGCACTCCCAGGTGAGCCACCCAGTGCACCAGCTAAGGCCCCGGAAATCCCAGAGATGTGGAGAGACTTCTGGGAGCAGAGAGGAGAGGAGCTTCCTTCGCCAACAAGAGCCGGGTTTGGGGTAGCAAGGAAGGCAGAGGAGAGGCTGGATCACAAGATCAAGTTCCTGGCCAAGACAACTTTTGAAGGGTACTTGTTGTTGGAGAGCGATCTGGCAGGGAAGAAGACGAAGGCAGAGGGCCATGGATTGCGCTTGGAGACAATGGAGGTAGAAATCCAGGAGCTCAGGGCATTGGTGGCTAGTCAGGCTGCCATTATTGAGGACTTGAGGCAGCAGCGTCAAGGGGGAGCGGACAAGGCCGAGAGCAGCCGACAAGGAGAGCAGAGGCACCCAAGACAGGGATTGCCAGGACAGCCATCTGCAGCGGAGCCCCGCCAGGAGCCACCTATGGGGAGAGTTATCCTGGAACCAGAGGAGGCGAGAGCCCAGAGGGAGGCAGCGTCCTTCCTTTTCACTTCCAGTTGATGCCGCTAGTGAATACAGCCTCCCCTGGTTCTCATAAAAATTAAAGGACCACTCTCCCCTTGCTGGTACTACCAGTTTCCGCTCACGAGTTCCACTGGTCCCTCTGTCAATTACTGATGTCGTTGTCGACGGCCAGCACCTCGCTTCCACCTAGTTCATTCTGACGACCTTGAATTTTGGTAACATAACGCCACCAAAATTATCACCGTAGGTGTCAAAATTTTTCGGCAACACTTTCTCACAGTAGCGGGAAAATAACTTGATGTAAGTTGGTTCCGTCGGGTGCCGCCACGAATAGCCTTGCCGCCTGCTGCTCACTGCCGTAAAAATTTGGCTGCACCACCCCACGCGAGTGGGAAATTAGCTTGTCGTAAACCTGGTCCGCCGGTACCGCCGTCAACAGCCTTGCCGCAGCTTACCCGCCGTGGTAAAATTTTGGCAGCGTTTCCCCACTAAAGCGGGAAAAATGGTTGGGCAAATTTACTAAAATCTGGGTCCCAGGCCCAAATCTCATTGTGTCGAACTGCCGTAGTCCATGTGGGACCAGCACCAGCTAGAGGGGAAGGGAGCAGAGTGCTCCCTGCCTTGGCTATGGTTGCCCAACTCCTCTCCTCGCGCTCCTCTGCAGAACTCCAGCCTCCTCCCACGTTGCCTCAGGCAGCACCTCCAACAGCCAGCAATACTCAAGTGTGTTCGTCACACACACACTGGCACCACGAGTGTTTTGTGTGGTAGCTGGGGGACAACTACCTGTTTTATAGTGGCTGAGGAGGGCTGGACGTCACACCAGCCCCCAGGCGAAATCGCGGCCTCACAGTGAGCCCTTGATCTTATTAAGATCCAGGGCTAACTGTGACCGCACCTCAGCCATAGCCTTAGTGAGGGCAGTTCCTTTAACTGCCCTCTTTTTCTTTTTCTTTTCTTTTTCCCAGCTATCTCGGAATTTCACGAGATAGCCGGGCCTCTGCCATTTCTAAAAATGTGTTTCTTTTATTTTTTTGATAAGGGGTTGGAGAGAGACGACCCCTTACAGTTTGATGTATCTGGACCCTTTTTCGAGGGCAAATACATCGGGAAAAAGGTTGTCCTTAGCCTTTTCATGTATGACCCCTCCATTTCCAGGCTCCCTCTAAAATCGGGAGCCTGACAGTTACCTCTGGCAGCTTCTGCCAAAAGTAGCACCTCGTGAGGACAAGTGTCCTCACGAGAAAGAAGAAAACAACTAAAAGAAAAAAAAAAAAAAAACTAATCCTAACTATACCGCATCTGGCTCTTACCTCAACCAGGTGCATGCTGTTGCATGCAACAGTCTCCTCCTTACGTTTCTCTGTCCTCCCCTAAAAACAAGGAGGGCAGTTGGCAGATTGAGAGAGGTAAGGCCTCCTCCTCCCAACCCCCACGTCCTTCTCTCTCTTTCCCTCCAACCAACCCCCACAATTTCATTCCCACACGCGCGTCGTGGGCTGCGAGATGCAGGATCTCGCGGCCACGAATATTCCTGGCTTTCTGAGTGGGGAGTTGGTCCTGCTCCCATACAGCTGAAAAATGTTGTTTCCTCTTCCTTTTGCTCTTACGAGGTTGTTGCCTCGTTCATTTTTTTTTTTTTTTTGCCCTGCTGGCACAGCCAACGAGCAACTTTGGGGCTACTAAAGGGCAGGCCTGAGTTTGATCCCTGTTGGGGATCGGAAAAAGAAAAAAAAAAATTGGACTTCTTCTCGATTTATGCGTGTCATCCTTGCGCAAGGGCTATACTAATCTGTGTGCGTGCGGCCAATCTCGGCCATGTGATTTGTAAGATCGTGCGGTCGTGGCCGACCGCGCCTGCAAAAATGCAGCAGGCCGATCGTTAGGCTCGATCCATGAGTTTGCAAGGTGACAGTTTGATGGCGGTACCTACCGGGCTAGCTCCTTTCACAGGAGCTAAGCTGCAACACTTCTATATGAAGTGGTGCAACACCAAGTTGGCCCTGCCTGGCATCCCATAGGCCCAACCCTCCTTACTTGGTTTCTTGGCTGGCCGCCAACATCAACCCCGACGGTCTCCAGCTTCAAGTAGGGAAGACCGCTAGCCCTATCGGTTGCACCACAGTCCCTGACGAGAGATCTACTCTGCAGCTAATACCTCCTTCGTGCCGTGTTTCAATCTTCAGCGAGGTCAGTCTTTTCAAGACCTCGTGCTCTTGCGGCCTTGTAAAAAACCATGACCAACAGGTTGTACTCCCGACTCCCGCTGTTTCAATCGGACGTGAATAACGTCAGGTTCTAAAAAGTTTAAGTTTCTCAGTCATAGGATTGGTGTGAATAAACTTTGGCAGATACTTCAACCTCATTAAGCCAGTTCATTTAAACTAAAATTCACCATCGGTCGGACAATTGTCCGACATTAAAAATCCCGAGCAGATACCCTTGTCAGGGTTTTCTACCCCGACCGGGTGTCTGGTTACACCGTTTACCCTTGTCGTTATGTCTGTCAGCAGGTAGACGGCTGCATAAAATTTTAAACTTTATTCAAATCGCTGACGAGTCGGAATATTTCAGCAATATTTCTATTTCATCAGACCAAACCTTACAAAACTTACATCAGAATTCGGACCACGTCCGACATTGAAAATATAGGGCAGATACCCTTGTCAGGTTTTCTGTCCTGACAGCATTCCCAGGGCGCATTGAATGACTTCCACGTCATTCATTTTTATCCAAAATCATCATATAAGAGGTATTTACCAGAAAAAGCTCTGACAGACAACCTTTCCTTTTTCATCAAAATATTTGCTCAGATTGTTGGCATGATGCCTTCAATTTATGTGGACTTCTTTCTGGATGGTTCCAGCATCATCCCACTGGCGACCACTCAAAATTTTGTCTCTCAGAATAGTACTGGAAGCCCTCCAGCTAGATCCAACATAATCCAATCAATTGATAGTGCTATTCTTATTCACTTAGGGAATTCCCTTAACTGTCGGGAATCTAACCCGGGTCTCTTGAGTTTACGGGGATGCTCTTCACAACACCTCGACGTATACAACGTCGCCAGGAATTTAACCTGGGTCTCCCATACACGCAAGGATACTCACATTATACCACAATCAAGGAAAACATCGAAACAAAGGTCTCAAGAGTTTCCACTTCATTCACAGAAAAACTTACGTTTAACCTATTGGTCCAAATGAGTCAGGATTAACCCCCGACAAGTCTTTCAAAATGTATCAATCTCCTAGATTTTAATCATTCATGAGAGAAACCATCAATCCACACCTTTCTTTCATTCATCCAGCAGAGTGAGCTCATCCTTTTGATACTCGATAGCATACCATGTAGGATCATTCTGACCCTACGGTGATTAGCGTCGAGGAGTGATTTTCAAGAAATCAATGAATTGTTATTATTCTAATTTGTTTTATCTTGTATATAAAACTTCTTTGTTGTTAATTAACCAAATTTTGCAGAAGTAGAAGTTTTATGGACCTACACGGCCAGAGGCATCTCAAGCACAAGCATTTAGTTTCTTGGTCAGAGATTAGAAACTTGGTGCTAATGTAGAATCTGCCAAAGAACCTACTGGTTTAGGTAAATATCTTATGAGATCTCCAACCGGGGAGATTATTTTTGAAGGTGAAATTTGAACAATATCCTGACATCAAGCCCCGCTTAAGATTCGGGCATCACCAACTTCCCTCTGATTCCAGTCTCACGATCTTATCATTCTGCTGCCGATAGGATAGAACAACCTTTTCCCACACAACCAGAGGTTGGTCATACCTTAGTTGTGAGGACAAGGTGACCCTATCTACTTCAAAGTAAGGAGACCAACCCTACCTTCATAGTAAATCGTAGTCGCCTACTCTGCTGACAGCGTCCTGATAAAATTGCAAAACCTTCCTCTCTTTCAATGGTAATGTAACCAACCCCTTCCACAAGGAAGGTGACAACATCCCGTTATGGACCAGGAACAAAGTTCCGGCACGGGCCTCATTACACCTACACGACTCACATCTTTTAGAAATTTTGCCACAACAGGATATGAGATAGAGTATCTCCAGACCATACATTTTCATCTATTTACATGCACAGTTATTCTCATAGACTCAGTCATTCACAAAAGAGTATTCACAATTATACACAAAAAAAATAAAAAACACTTTTAAAAGCTCAAAGTTGTCACCACTGTTATCACAATAGTTTATTACTTGGATTATAAAGAAATTCACAATTAGATGCTAACAATTGTAAAAAATATATATATATCTTAAGAAAATAAAAAGAAACAACATCCTAAGCTATGTTTCAGTGTTGTTGTTTTTTAAATGAAAAACCAGAACTGTCATAATTTACAGAGATACTAAAAACAAAACAACTACTGTACTCAATCCCTCTAGATGGACTTCCGTAAACGAGAACCAGAAACCCAATTCCTGTCACGTGCCCCATCCATCTCCTCAATCTCATATGCTCCATGACCAGTCTTTTTGACAATACGATATGGTCCCAACCATCGGCTATCAAACTTTCTTGACCACTGCTTTTCCAAAGACGAATCGTAGAGGAGAACAACATCACCAATTTTAAAGGGCTCTTTTCGGACTCGAGGCCGCTTATCCCATCTGTCCTTGTCTGCCTGTCTGCTTTCAGTCGTTGAGGCAACAACCTCTTCAATCTTCTCCTCTATGATCATTATCTGTCTTGCCCTGTGGTCAGGTAACTCTTCTGTGGAAAGGTTAGTCTTCATATCCTGCTTTTGCCACGTAGTCAGAAAGCTTTCGATTGGGAACGTTACCTGTCGACCGAACCATGGAGTCACAGGAGCATACCCAGTCGTTCGCTTGATGGTAATGTTTTTCACGAACATTGTTGTCCTCAAATAAATAGGTCATCGTGATGGATTACCTGCACACCACTTTGCCAATAACTTCGTCAAAGTAGCGTGTCCTCGGTCAACTGGAACGTTAACTTGCGCATGAGCTCTGGTGGTATAACTGTAATTTACACCAAGCTTTTTCAAAACAACTTATACGTTATCAGCACGAAACTCTCCTCCTTGGTCCATCACGAATTCATGGATAAATGGATATCGAAGATGAAATTCCG